GGTAGAAACTCGTTCGATTTCCAAAAATACAAGCATTTGTTTGAAATTCTGACGACTCCAATCCATGATTCAAAAGCATGAAAATGCGGTTATAAAATATCCATGAATCAATGTACTAGCAATCGCTTAAAAGTTGAAAGTTCGTAACTGTTGAGATCTCGCAACGTAAGTTCAAGTTCATATTATTCCAAGTCCTTACTATTGAACACGTTTCAGGAGATAGAATTCTAAGATCAACAATTACACTTAAATTGCATGTCTCAGCCAAAAGGAAGCGTTTACGCCTTTATTCATTAAATTAATCGACACAGTTCTTTGAAACAGAAATTTATTTTCATTCGATTCTCTCTGCAGGTGCCCTCAATATACGAAGTTCAGTATCAAGGTTATTAATTGATAACTTCACTCACCAGTTTTGAGACCAAATTACTGATGCTCACTCTTTGCATCCAATATTATTAAATTCATCATTTCACCATCACAAGATAATTCAATAAATACAGTATTTTTTTGTTAAAAAACATGGCCATTATTTAGATCAGGGAAATCAGTAATATGCAGTCGACAAATAAATTAGTTTCATCATCACTGACAACCATGGAATCTTGCAAACCACGTCAAACCACTGTCAACTAAGTTCGAATAGAATGATTCGCTATTAATTATTTCATGTTAACGACTTAAACATTTACTATTCTAATAAAAATAACTAATATAACTAAGGTTCGCAACTATTTCAAAGTTACATTTCACCTTTGTTATCCTGTGATACGTACAGAGATGAAAGGCTGTGGCTCAAGATTGCGCAATGTCGCACAATATAGCGAGGATGAGGGACTTTCTAACCACGTGACTGGTAGTTGCAGGATTACAACTCAACCCGGCGCAAATGCAACGAAACGCCAGCGAGAAGCGAGGGATTCCCTCAGCACGTGATCAGTAGATGCGGTCGTTAACCCCACCACGCCATGGAACTGGCGAGAAGTGAGGGATTCCTTCACCACGTGACCGCTCGCGGACGAGTGTTTGTGGCGCGGTGCGCCGCGCGGCGGCGACGCCGTCGTCGTCGTCGTTGGCGGCGGTGGCGGGACGGGGGCGGCGGCGACGGCGGCGACGGCGGCGACGGCGGCGGCGGGGCG